TGCATGTCATTTAAAACTAAGTTTTAATAATTGTATCATGTAGGATAGTTTTAGTTATTAATTTACATGCGTCGTCCACATTGCATATAGTTCAATAATAGTGGATAGTTCATTAGGCCACATTAGAGTCTTAGGTTTTAAACTTGTTATTTTTATAAAATAAAAAATAGAAACAACTTCATGGTTTCTCTTAGGTCATTCATACATGTTAGAATTACATAGATCTATTATCTTAGAAATAAAAATATGTCATGTGACATTCCGCAATTCCACCAAATGGAATTTATTGAATAATTGAGTTTTATAAAATGTGCTCGCAGTAAATTCTCGCCCGGAACTAATCATTCCTGGGAATGATAACCATTAGGGAAAGGCTAATAGGGGAATTAAATTCACGCGACTAAAGTAAATTCGATCGTGAATGGATTTCGACCATTAAATCGCGGAAGTGATATTTTGAGCCACTGTTGGCCGATCCAAGGATAGTTAGGGGTCAGTTCGCCACTGTCCTAGTAGTGGATCGCGGGTGATTCCGTCGGATCACGAAACGACTTGACGGATGATTCTGAAATTATACCGAACGATTGTACCCCTAGGGTCAAGTGATTGATTTTCGCGATTTTAATGACAACCGAGGTCGTCACGTACCGAACGGACTTGCACGTGACTCGATTCAGTATCAGTCATGAGTCGATTCAGCGAATTTCCCCAGCAAGCCGCCCGTTAGCTCGAGAAACGCTCGAGTTGCGTTTAATAGAATTTAATTATTGAATTTTTGCCCAAATTGGACACCGGAAAATTAGGAAGTCACGCCGGAACGTTAGGACAACGTTGCACGTGACACGTGTGAATTTTTGGTGCACTCAATTCCTTCGGAAAAATTCAATTTGGGCAAGAAACGGAGAAAGTGACCAAAGTACCCCTTGAATTTATTAAAGGGCAAGCTTTAAGAGTAAAGGGCATTTTGGTAATTTTGCCCTAAAATTTTGATTGGACAATTTTACCCTTGGATTTTTGGAAAATTACAAGTATACCCTTGGATATTTTTGTGCTAGAATCGATCTCGGCCGTCGGATCAAGATAAGATCAAATCGGGACCGTTGGATTAAAAATAAGAGGAAATGGTATTATGGTCATTTCCACCTTTAGTCAAGATTTACTATTTAGGTCAAGAACACTTCTTCTTCTCCCCATTCTCCTTCTTCCTTGCCGTGAGACCCCTCCCCCAGTTAGTTTTTTTTTCTTCTCCCCACCGTGAGCTTCCTTGGCCGTTCCTCCCTCCACCGCCGGCGCCGCCGCTTGCCACCACCACACCGGACCGCCCTCAAGCCGCCGTCCACGCCGCCGTACACCACCACCATCAACCTCACCACCATATTTCTCTCTTTCCCTCTCTCTCTCAAGGTGGCCGTGAGCCCCATCAAGGAGGGCCGGACCGCCGCCGCTCAAGCCGGAAGCCGTCGTGAGCCGTACGCCGTCACCGTAGAGTGCCGCCGCTTCCCGTTCTAGCCGATTAAGTCTAGAACTTAGTAAGTCATACTCTAATCCCGATTTAGGATATTGGGTATTGATAGATAATTTGATTCGGGGGAAATTGACAATATGCGGGTGCGAAATATTGGGGTTTAGGATTGGAATGTTGTGGCGGGCCTTGAGGATTATTTTTGGAATTTTTGGAGGACAATTTGAGGTGAATTACAAGCTGTGATTTACTGTTCACAAGCTGCGAATTACTGTTCACGGGCTGTGATGACTTGTTCGGGATGCAAGTTGGATTTTTAGAACCGTTATTTAATGGCGAGAAAGTGTCGTGAAGGATCGGAATTGATCCGACGCCATTTGGGTGAAGAAAGTTGGCAATTTACGTGTTTTAGGCGTGTTTGAATTATTCTGGATGGGGTTGATTTAATTGGGTGCATATTTGTGTGTTTATATAGTGGACATATGTCTGTTTGGTGCACGCGTGGGCCAGATTGAATTAATTGTTGATATTGGCCATGTGAATTGTTGAGTGAACTCTATCTGCGTGTGACTCGACGCGTACACGGATCGCGTGTGTTGGGCCAGTTGCGTGTGGTAAATGCATATTGAGTATGTGCATGAGTAAGACAAAGTTGTGGTGTGACTAGTGATTGTGGGAAAGTATGTGAAGGTGTGATAGTGCGAGAATGGGATCGGGTCGGGTATCGTAAACTCGGGCAGCGATCACATAGGTCTAATGCATTTGGCACAGGTTGAGGCTTGAAAAAGCAAGTATGAGAATCGGTCCGAGGCACGATCAGCTCGGGTGAGACCGGGATTGGACCGAGGCATCTTAAGCTCGGGTTTCAATCATGTAGGCCTGTCGCATTTGGCGTGGGCTGAGTTGGGATCGGGCCTGAGGCGTGTGATGCTCAGGTCGCGATCGGGGCCTGAGGCGTGAACGAGTACGCGGGCCGGAAGTGTGGTGATGAATGGTCGCAGTGTACCTGAGGCGTGTACTTCAACGCGGGTCACTGGCGAGGAATATGAAAGAGGAATGAGGATGGAAGGAACAGTGAGATGAGAATGGTACATGCACGTGTTTGCATCTGATGTAATTGTGATTGAGTGCAGGTGTGCGCATGATTGAGCCTAACCATATTAATTGATGGGCCTGCTTTGTGATTACTTGATGTACGTGAATGTGTGTGATTGCGTAATTGTCTGGAGGTACGTGATAGCCTAGGTTGGGTTTAGGGGTGTACTTGCTGAGATATAATCTCATGGTTATGTAAACCAACAATTTTCAGAACCCCGACCTGAGCGATGAACCCTCCACCACCGCCACCAGTACGTTTTGGAGTACCAGTGCATACGGAGTATGAGGTAGCTGAGTTTCCAATGGGTGACGGGATGACCTGGATAGGACACACGACGACCGTGTTTGTAGAAGTGGGAAAGCTTGCCTTGGATGAGAACCATTTTTGAGGTTGAACGTCAGGTCATCGACTCCTTTTTGATTTTGGTAGTTTCAGTAAAGTGTGCACTGGTAGTCAGAGGTTTGTTTTATTGTATATATGGTGGAACAAGTTGATCAAGAAATGGAAATGTATATTCTTCCAATTCTTCCCGGTTTAAGTTTGTCCGGGTGTTTTATGGTTTCCGTTTGTGCGATTAAATCTCTGATGTTTAGTTGAGGTCGGCGATAACCTAAGACGTCGCAACTGTTCGACCGGAGGCGGGATGTCGCGGGCTCGACGGGGGTTCGGGGCGTGACATGTCATCTCGCACCTAGTATTTAGATTGCACTAATCATATAGATGCAGGGTTAGGAATAATTTAATTTGTAAACTTTTAGGGTCATTTGTCTTTTGTTAGTTAATAAAGAAAAATACCAAAAATTAGAAGTAGAGACTCGTATAGATTGGATATTAGTTAGTCATTATTTCATGCATGATCATGCATAACATTCATGCATTGTGTTTGCATATTTTTCAAAAGTAATAATTTGTAGAAATCTCGTGGTGATGGTTAGTGATACGCTTTGCTTTGCTTAGTGAAGCGCATCTAGGTTATTTAAATCTTCTGCAATCTACTTATTGTTTTGATTATTATGTGTTACTTTCCTGAGAGCACACCTGCATAATCACCCCTCACATGTTAGTGGCATGGGTTAAAAATGGATAAAGATTACATGCAAAACATTTTTGAAATAAAGAGAAAAGTAACCAAAAGAGTGTTAGATTAATCTAGTGTAATTAAATCCCCGTACTCATGAATCTTTGATACGCGGCACATTTTGTTTGGGTGTCTAATCGACTCATAACCGATTAGTGGCGGCTCTAAAAAAAGTTTAATCACATTTTGAATTGAGTACCAATTGTGGTTGGTAAGGCTTGGGAGAGCCCACGCTAAACGTGAACGATGGCCTCATGAGAGGAACCTTTGTTCCCGTTTAGTAGTCCATTAATCTTCCCCCTGGTGGTTCACCTTTGGGATGTTCGCGACATATGGAGTTAGATATTTTAATTCTGATGAGGACGATAGAGTGTACAGATCAAACTCTATATGAGTCATGCGCGCTTATCACTGAGTGCCATGATCTGCTAGCTCATCTTTTCAGATCTTCACTTGGCGAATTGCTTTAGAGAGATTAATAGAGTTGCGGACTAGGTTGCTAAAGTCCAACAGAAAAAAAGAAAAGAAAACCTTTCAGGAAATTGGATTTCAATTTCTCCACAAACCCTCTGGAATTTGCTATGTAACGAAGCCTTCTCAATGGGCTCTTCGGTTTTAACTTAGAGAAATAAACAAAATTCTCTTTGGACCAACAAAAAATATTAAGGGTCTCATTATCCTATGATCTCAATATTCATCATGCTCTTAATCAGAGTTCATTTTAGTGTTGTGTACTTTTTTGGGAGTTGCTGAATTTGACTGGGCAACTACTCTACCAATTATTGGAAACGTCGAGCCATCCCAAAGCCCTTGGCTCTCACACCTACTGACATCGAGATCTTTTCAAAACATAGACACTTCAAAATTTTGTGATGAATGATTGAGATCTATTTACATATATTTACCATTAAACTGGTGACGATCCTCCAAGAAACCGTTAGGAGATAATAGAAACTCATAAGCGTGGAATACGTCGTAATCTGCTTATCTCACTTTGATTGGACTGGTCTTTACGAAAGAGGGATGTGCAATCATTCTACTGGTGAACGTATTGCCAGAATATAATCCATAACAGAGCGTTTCCATGTGTATACTAAAATTGTGTTGAACAGTCATCGCACCTACCCATGAAAAGCCGAAAGCGACGACATCATTGGCCTTACTTATTTAGCCATCGAGAATGAGGAACGAGCGGCAATTATATACGAGTAAAGCAAGAAATTGATGTAGTGACTTGTTTAAGCTAATGAGGCATGAATAAGCCACCGAAAACAATTTGTCCTCAATTTCAAGTCTCAATCATCAACCAAATTATACTTAAGAAAGTAATTAATCTAGGACAGGTAGAGAGGTCCCTCCGATTATAGAATTCTTCCCTTAGATGACCATGAAGGGAAACACTACGTAAAGTGGTGTTTCCGAGTGACTTTAAGAATGCGAAATCCAAATTCAATTCCCTCTGTTTTCCTCAGCCTGAATGGTCCTCATAACATCAAGATATGACTTCCCTCGGAGCTCACGAGAGTAATATCCCCTGAAGTAATCCGTGACCCCTATTCTTCTGAACAATACTGGCTTGTCTGGTGTGATTAGGCTAGGTGCAGGACCCATTTCGCCTTCCAATTTCGGGCTGTAAAATGTGGCAACCGAGAGCCTCTCCTTCATCGAGTTAACTGTTGCTCGGTGCTCAATGCTACGATAATTACCATTCGAGACAATCTGTGTCAATCATCAAATACACAAACTATTCAGTCATCCTCTGATGTATTTTTTGTTGTTCATGAAATTCTATTCTCTATACTCATCCTAATAAATTGCATAAAGTTTTGTTTAGATAGACTATTCATCGAAAGGTATCTTTAAAAATACCAGATTGTTTGCGAGATAATAGTCTTGTCATCAATAGCACATCGAATCTAGACAACATTGGCTTGTATATAAAACAAAATTAGGTGGAACTCTGCAGCAAAACTATTAGAGATGGGGCCGATCGAAAATCTTTACCTCTAATATGTCTCCGACATTGACAATGAAAGCATTAGAAAGGGGCTTGATGGAAACCCACTTGCCCTCTTTCCATACTTGGAGACCTTCCACTTCATTGACTTGGAGAAGAATGGTGAGGCCTATGGCGTCAGAGTGAGGAGTGAGGCCGATCACCTGCTCGGGTCGCGGACACAGAGGGTAATAGTTCATCCTAAAGGCTTGCATGCCCTCATCAAACAGTTCTATCATGTCCTTCGTGTCCATCTTTAAAGCTTTTGCCATGAGAAGGAGTATCTTCATTGCAAGATCTCGGAGCTCTGAGGAGTATTTATCCAAGACATCTCTGCGCAATAATAAGATGATACACATAAGAATAGGTTACAAAGGTTTGTGAGAGAGAGAGCATGGATTTTCTCACAAAATGTGACGCGCAGATATGAGTAGGTTTATATTTAGTAAGTAATTAATTGTTCATCTCGATGTCGAGAGATTTGGGATTGGTAGAAAATAGTTATACAGGTTGTTAATAAATTATTCATCATACTAATAAAGTTAAGGTATTATTGATGATGCGGGCTACTTATCAAGCCAATCTTCCATGCATCCGGCTCATATGAGCCCAACTCACATGAACCATTGGCTTTGGTGGATGTTTCCAATGATGCATGTGAGTTGGCCACACATGCACCGGGAGTAGCCAAGAATTTTTCTTAATTTTGATTGTTGATGTATCAACCATTTAGAGTAAATTTAATATTTAGCTAGTAAAGGAACCAAAAATCCAATTGGAGGGGAAGGGGGAGGGGAAGGGCAAATTGACGACATACATTTGAACAATCCCGATCATTTTGACCAATGCATTAGAGAGAGAGAGAGAGAGAGAGAGAGAGAGAGAGAGAGAGAGAGAGGGCAAATTGACGACATACATTTGAACAATCCCGATCATTTTGAACAATGCATGAGAGAGAGAGAGAGAGAGAGAGAGAGAGAGAGAGAGAGAGAGAGAGAGAGAGAGAGAGAGAGAGAGAGAGAGAGAGAGAACCTGAAGGGAGAAGGAAGCATGGGGAAAGGGTGAGGTTTTCTCAAATGTCTTGGGAAGGACACAATGTAAAAGCGGTCGCCCCAATCAAGCTTCTGCTCCTCCGACACAACAAACGCCTGCCCAAAACCCTCCACGTCTCCTTCTTGTTGCCAAAACTTCCTCTTCTCCTCCATTGGAAACTTGAAGAACTCTTGTATTTTTAACTTCACCTCCTCCACCAATGACCAACTCACTCCATGGTTTATCAACTGCATCCACAAAAAGAATCAATTAATCGAATTCTTGCAAAACAAATCCGCCCTTTTGTCTCAAGTAAGTCTCACGGAAGACCTGGAAGAATCCCCAATCTCTGCATGCAAAGTGCAACATTTCAAGCTCAGACTCCATCGAATCGTCATCACTTGACGAGAGCTTGTTCAGGTCAATTACTGGCACTTGAAGCAACAAAGATCCATGATCATCGTGCATGAGTGGATGATCTTGGTCGGTACGGACATAGCGAGGCGGGACTTCGGTTATGGCCTCTTTCGCCAGCTCCTGAACACATGGGACCAGAAGAGAACCGCCAAGCTTTGCGAGATTCGCCTCCATCATCGCGACGAGAGGATTGGACGACAAGAACCTCAAAAGATGTGGTGATTTGTAATGGACAAGGGCCAATAAACTTGAGCTCTTTTTCAGTGGGCTTCACTATAATGGCTTGCATAAAGACGCACTATCTATATATAAGTATCTACTTTCATCCCCACAAGATCCTTGATGCCAATTAAAGATATTGAATAATCCTTTTATTATATTTTTCTTCATCCATTATTCACAGCCGATCACAACATTCATTTGAGGGTTTAATGATTGTGGGATGTTACCCAACTTGATTTCTCATGTATAGTAATTGCGTCAAGAACGTGTGCATGGACGACGTGTAGTCTCGCATAACGTGATTTAGTCACGTATGAAGATATATCATGGTCCATAATAATTCTCACGAAATGAAAAGACAAGATTCCAAACAACTTTTTTTGCATGGTTATAGGTCCTACGCACTAATTATGAGTTGGGTTTGGACAACACCTTTTCCGAATCATATCCTGAGTATATCTTTACCTGAAGATGACAGAGACCAAGTCAAATTTTGTATGTTTCTTCTAATATTGGGCTGTTTGTTGACTTTTAGCTATACCCAATAGCCAGTATAGGCGAACAATATTTGGTGCTTCGTGATCGGTTATTGGTGCATTATTCGGTCTTATCTTATACAATATAGCGAAGTGAAAGCTTCAAGAAATTTTTTTAAAAATATCCCATAAGATTATGCTAACTACTTATCGATAAAATTGTTATAGTTAACATCATAAGCAAGCAAACTTAAGCAAATCACTTTAAGTTTATTTATAAAAAGCAATACCGCTAGGATTAGGATTTAGACAAGCAACCAAACCTAAGTAAATTCACTTATCTTGATTTATAAAAAAATAAAAGAATTAAGATTAATATCTAGACAAAAATTATTTCACCTTAAATTATAATTAAGAAAATCAAGGTTAACTATTGTACTAATATATTATGACTCCCGAACTAGAAATAAGTATCTCAACTTACATAATATGCCACAAATTTTAAAGCAGCTATTGTAAACTCAGTTACAATATGCTGCCACATTAACATATGAAGACCTAACAAATTATATCCATCTATGTTAACATGACAGTGGATATCAGCAAATTTTTTAGTGGCAAAAGAAATTAACTTCTTCATTCCTTTCCATTGAAACTCTCTAAGGTGATATGGAATCCGGTTAAAACACATCGATTTACAGAGAATTTAAATTCATTTCAACCATGCATAGTACGGCATTTTATTCTAGTCTATATATATGCGTGCACGTCCGCGCGAGATTGTGGGTTGGTGCACAAATCTACTGGGGAAAGAAAATAGAAGAACCAAAACCCTTATTTGTTAACAGTTGCCACATTTGCTCTGACACTGCTAATTAAGGAAGTTGGAGTTGCCATAGCTTATGGCAAGAGCAATGGGAGTAGGACGCTTACTTTGGCAAATTTCTAATGCTGCATATCTAATTCTTATGCATATATTGATAATAAATTCCTAATCGATATAATTTCATATATATTCTTATGCATACCTCTCTCATAATATTAAGCTAAATTGGGACTGAATATTTTAAAGGGAAAAAGGACACTATAAGTGCCATAACTTGTGTACGGCGCTCACTTTGGTGCCATAACTTTTTTTCGGATCACTTTGGTGCCAAGTCGGAGGAAAAACGATCACTTAAGTGTCATAACTTTTTTTTGGATCACTTCAGTGCTAAAATTTTTGAAAAACGATCACTTAAGTGCTAAAATTTTTGAAAAACGATCATTTAAGTGTTAAAATTTTTGAAAAACGATCACTTAAGTGCCAATCTCCGGTGAGACTCCGGCGAGCCACGTCAGCTTCAGAAATTAATAAAAAAAATGCCACGTCAGATTTCCGACAAAAAATTGTGTACGGCACCGGAGTTGGCACTTAAGTGATCGTTTTTCAAAAATTTTAGCACTTAAGTGATTGTTTTTCAAAAATTTTAGCACTAAAGTGATCCAAAAAAAAGTTATGGCACTAAAGTGAGCGCCGTACACAAGTTATGGCACTTGTAGTGTACTTTTGCCTATTTTAAAGTAATTGTTCGTGTATATAGAGACTATATTTGGAAGTACTCATACATCATATGTTTACACAATCGTTTATGGCAAGATTTTGAAAAAAGTTTAACAATTTACGGATATCTATCTAACATTTGACTCATATTTCTCAAATAAAAATTATATCAGAATTGAGAAAATAATAATATTGAATGATTAGTCGTATGTTAGACTCATCGTTGACACTTAAATTTTGGCAACTTGTTTAGTTACATTGTAATTGGACTAGCACTAAATGGACTTAAGTAGGAGAGTTCTGAGGTTAATTAAATCATATGGATTAAGCTCGCGGTAATACAAAATTCAGCCAAGCCCATTGAACCCAACATGATGGCAGAATTTCACGTGATATGCTTATGGAGATCTTGATTCGGAAATATTATGTTTTTGTTTTAATCAAATATTGGGTCAATTAATTCAATATTTTTAAGAATTTTGCTCGCGAAATAAGAAAGTGATATACCTTAATTTCCTAGAAAGACAAATAACATGATCTAGAATAGACAACTAGGATATCTTTGTTCTTGTAAGATAACCCTAGACTTAAGGGTTGCTCACAAGAGAGGTTGGAGACAATAGGGCACGCGTTCAAGGAGAGAATAGAGGCGACCTCGTGCTACCGCGACTACCGCTCTTCTTGCTACCATATCCACGCACCTACACCGTGCCCCACCTCATCGTTGCACCCAACCACTGCGATCGACTCTTTCCGTGCATAGTACCACTGCAGTTTCCAGCGAGCTCCTTGTTAGCCTTGACGATGAAGTCGATGTCCATCAACTCCCACCTATGACTCATTTTCACAACCACACCGGTCCACACTGCGCCTTTACTAGCACTCCCATTACACCCAGCCGCGTGACTGACTTGCATCGACGCTACCTGCTACCTCCCGACAACAGTTCAACTTCCTATCACCGCGATCTAGGACCGGCGAGCTTTCCCCCCGCAACTTACGTCCTCCTCAGAGGTTTCCTGGTGTGTCCAGCAGTTCCTAACGATGGTTTGCAAGCAATAGCCCAGCAATTCCCTCGTTGCTATAGTTCAGTCCTCGCTGCTGTAATTCAATCCTCACAGCGCCTAAACGAGCCTCTAGCGAACTCCGGCAATTTTCTAGTCCAACCTCGCTACGCCTGCTAGCTTACTGGTGTTGATACCTAAATTTTAACTACTCTACCAAATCATTCATTACAAAAATTGCATAAGTTCGAATCATTTCACATCGCACAATTTCACATCGCATTTGAATATTTATTCATTATAAAGCATGTCAACATCTAATAAGTTTCATATGAGCTAGCCTCATCGTGCTTGAATTCGAGAAGCCAAGGAAATACGACCCACAGATTAGCGAATATCTTCAGAATATGCTCAACTATGAATCCTGGGCATGATATGTGAGATTTGGTAGGACCACTGCCAACTGTTCTAAAAGCTCAAGTTATTAGATAAAGTCGTGGTTTAATATTTAAATATTTTATCATTCCCCTCATGCTTAGTCTGGTTTTTTTATTTTTTTTTCGTACTAAGTATGGATATATTTAATTGGGGAGGCACATGGGGCTTAGAATGATTTGAACTCAGGATCTTTTGCTCTAATACCAAGAAGAAAACCAAAGAATTGAATGAATGAAGCATGCTAAAGTAAGTAGACATGATCAGGACGAAATGAATCACGGAAACCAGGTGGGTGTTCCATATAGACAGGAACATCAAGATTGTTGTGCATGAAAGCATTCTTGACATCTAATTGGCAAATTTCCCAATTTTGAACAGTAGCAATGGATAGAGCAATGCAAATGGTGGATTGTTTCACTTCCAAACTAAACATGTCTAGAAAATCAACGCCTTCCTTGATGGAAACCTTTCACAACAAGTCGAGCTTTCAGTCAGTCAAGTGAACCATCCCCATGTAGCTTTGCTTTGTACACCTATTTACATCCAACCACATTCATCACGAGGAAAAGGTTCTTATATTTTGTTAACGGCAAGAGCATCCAACTCCTCATGCATAGCAGTTGTCCAACTAGGGTGTTTTTAAGGCCGAATGGACTGTGTGTGGGTCAAGAGGGATAGCCGATACTACTAAATTGGCATACCTTAGATTTGGTTTTGAGATCACAGTCTTTGAACAGTCTTGTAACGACTCTTTTCCGTACCATCAACAGTCATCTTCAAATGCATATCTCACCATCATCAGTGGTAACTCTTCATCAGTACGATCCTAAACTCATCATCACCACGTGGAGATTATAAGTGAGTTGGTTGACGATCTTCAGTGACAATACAATGAAATGATATGCGATGACAGGATCAATGATCTATCCCCCTTTATTAGGACCCAAAGACCTCCAAGAACACTAGCTTGACGTTGGTCTTCCCAAGTCACCATGAGATACCCAGTCACATTGGTGCTTGTTCACCTAAATGATACATCCTAGTTTCTCGTCTTTGCTAATACAAAGGAATCAATGACGATTGTAAAACTAGTTCACCAAATGCACTTATCATGGTAGATATTAGTACCGAGACATTTTTAGAATTATCAAAATTTCATAGGGATGTTTCCCAACAATCTCCCCGTTTGATGATGACAAATCCTGTCCTACATATGTGTAATAAATAGGGTGTGAAGATATTTGCAGTGAACTTAAGAAGCTTTTTTTAAGTAGATTTTCCTTCATAAGGTCCAATTGCAATTGTATGCGTCTCCTGATATCTTCAATGGGCATAGTGAGACAGACGTTATGAGATTCAATTCAATCAAAGGTTGGCATTGAGAGACAACATATTCTCAGATAATTCAACTTAATAAGGCAACATAAGAATCTGCAGTGAAAATATGACTCTGCTTTGCATATGAACTTAAGCATTATCACAGCTTCACTCAAAGGTAGTTGTCTAACGTCTTAGTTAATCATAATAATCTCCAATCGTGCACATAAAATATCACATCGTGCAACTCTCTA